AGTATGTTTCTTTAATATTATTTTATGTATAATAATAATAATAATAATAATAATAATAATAATAATTATTATTATTATATTAATACTGATTTAATCATGATTTAATTATTGATCAGACATTAAATTTTGAATAAGTATTTTAACTAATTTAATAATTAATTTGATTTAAAAAATATTATTTATTGGTATTTATAATAATGAAAATATTATATCAAATTCAATTTACTTTTAATTGACTTAATTTACTTTTAATGTTTGTAGATGGTGTGAGAGACTAAAACAACTTTTTTAAAAGAAAATTTTATATATATATATATATATTTGAAAATTTGAATAACTTAAAACATTATTAATTCCAAAATTAAAAATATTTTTTATTTTTCTTTCATTTATCATAAAGTAGTCCCAAGAACTATTAACAACATACTAATAATTAATAGATCATCCCACGCGCTATGGAAGTGAAGTGTGTTAGAAATGTCAAAGGATGTACTCAATATATCAAGACCCATAACATGGATTTGCCAAAGTGGCAATGCTTTTATGCTACTTTCCTTGGTGTCTGAACTGAAAAATGTTGTTTGGTGACAAGAATTAAGGAAGAAGCCACATTGATTTGATAAGATAATGAGTCTAGTGGTTCACTTGGTTGAAGTTAGGAGGTTGTCACTTTAACTAAAGAGCTGTATTTATTTCAGTCTAAACCATGGATCATGATATTTTCATATCCTTTCTATTAGAGTCACATACTTATTGTACTTTTTCTTTATTCATTAAAAATGTTGATTATCTCTATATGAAATCCTGACCACATTTTATTATTAATTGAAAATTTAATATTCTAATTGCATCTTGTCGATTTCCTACTATATATTTCCAAAAACTAAAAATATGCTTCATGGCTTTTCGGACAAAGGAAGAATAGAAAGCTAATGAAAAATAGTTAGGGAATTTTGTATTATATATATGGATATTATTAAATTTAAATAAGTTTTATGAATATGAAATAAATTAAAATTAATATATGTTTTTATTATTAATAAGTAATATTTTATTTTACCATATGAAAAAATAAAAAGGTAAAACTTTTAAAATTGAGGATGAAATTATGGGTAAAAATTAAAAATAAAATATCATTATTGATATATGGTGTCAAAATGCATTTTTTTTAAAATTGTTTAATTAATATTACCATAATCCTAAAATTTGGTTAATATACGAAACACTAGTGCAAAAAATAGTATTTTTTACTAGTGTAGTGTTACAATTGATTTTTTTTTTTAATAATCTTTATCAATTCACATTGATACATTGAACTCTATATTGTGAATTTAAGTAAATGGTTAAATTAATCTTTAAAATTGTGATTCACGAGACTTTAGCCCTTAATTTATTTAATGAAATTAAAAAATAAAGATTTTGTGATCACATTACTTAATAAATTTCACATAATATTATTGTATCCAAGATAGTTGAGGATCATCATTTTGAATTGGCAATAGACATTGCATTAAATTAAAATTTGATGTTAATCACTTAATTTGATCATATTTGGCTATATATTTGAGTATGGACGAAGCTAGAATCTTACAAGGGAGAAGGGGTTTCTTTCTTTATAATTATTTAAATATTTAACTTCAAATAATGTAATACATTGATTAAATTTTACAAATAATAAAAGCCTATTAGAACTACAATGTTACTCATTATACGTTTATTAAAAGTTTTTCATAATTTTTGTCATTTAAATATATATATATATATATATATATATATATATAT